TGAGGGTTTAAGCATCCTTTTTCTCCCTGGAGCTTGCCGCCCCAAATAAAATCTTCTCTGAAAGACTCCTTCTTCGCTTCTCATACCTCCCCTTCTCTATTTTCTCCCCTGTCTCAGGGTTCATTCCTATTTTCCTCTTGTCCCAATTAGTCCATCTTTCCTGCCTGGAATAGTAAAGACATTTAATTAAATCTTAGAACAAGAAGTCTGGATATGGGATTGGTTAGCTGGATTCTAGGTTAGCATTTCTTCACTTCCCTTTTCCTCTTGGGCCCCGTAAGCTGCTGTGGCACCAGACATTGCTTCCTGCATAACCACATCCTAACCAGGAAAGGAAGGTGGGGGTGGGCAGAAAAGGGATCTTTTTCATCCAGAATCTCACTCTTTCATCAAGCAGGAAAATATTTCCTAAATGTTCCAGTAGACTTGCCCTGTGATAATGTGACAATGGCATCACATACTCACCTTTAAACCAGAAAGGAATTTCATGGTTGTCTTAGACCAATCAGGACTCAGCCTGTCCTGCTGCGTCAAAGAAATACAGCTCTGAAGGTGGTGGGGGCATAGCTGGGGCTCTGAAGGTGGTGGGGGCATCACCATTCCAGTCTTACATCCCACCTCTAGGCCACACTGGGGGGCCTGGCTGTGCTGGGCCTTCTCTGGCTTGTCCTCTTGGTGGAGTTGGGCCCCCTGGGCCACTCCCCACTCCTTGGGTACCATCTTCCCAGGCCTCTAGATGCCAGTTCTCTGTTCTCCTTTGCTGCCTGCCCCTCCTCAGGCTCCACAAATGGCCCTTGAGGTGAGGCGGGGCCCTCTCCTGCCTTTCTCTGACCCATCCCTGGTGAGCTCAGCTGCCCTCCTCCCTCCCCTCTGGCCGCACTGACTTTCCTTTTTCCTTAAACAGCGCACCAAGCTTTTTCCCACACCTTCCTCACCTTTGCCCATGTTGTTCCCTTTGTCTGAAACACTGTTCTTCTGGATCTTTCCATGACCTCCTTCTCCTCATTCAGGCCTCTACTTCTCGGAGAGGCCCCCAGACAACCCCATATAGGAGCCTTTCCATTATTACCTACCCCTGATCCTGATTTATTTTTTGCTGAGTGCTTATCATCCCCTCTCTGTATTTATTTGTTCATTTGTTCAGTGTCCTGCACCCACCCTGACCCCACTCTAAAGCGCAGCTCTGGCAAATCGGAAACAGTGTCTTGCTCAGCATGGGGCCCGGCACACAGTAGGTGCACAGAAGAACACTGCTTGGTGACCATCTCAGCAGCTCCTCCCGGGAATGCAGCCTGTCTGGACATTGCCTGGGTCCCAGATAATCCCTGGCTGAGGGCTGACGGGCCCCTCCCACCTCAGGGGCATTGCCTGGAATTTGGGGGTGGGCTGAAGGTCCCAGGAAGTGGGGAGAGGATCTCTGAGCCTGCACTCTGCCCAGAGCAAAGGGCGGAGGAGCCCAGGTCTTCACCACTGCATCACAGAGCCCTCAGGAGCCTGGGGGGTGACACTTGGCAGGAACGGCATTCAGGAATCTTCCGTCCTCCCTCGGTGCTCCTTTTGGGAACATCTTGCCTAGTGGTTTTCATTTCTTTTCTCTTTTCTCCAAGCTATGGTACCCATTATTCAGCAGAAGATCCCAGTGTGGTGGCCCCCATCCCCCAAGGGCAAGCTATAAATCTGGCCAGTAAGGTAGAAATGTACGGTGGCCAAGTTCCCCTTGGAGATTCCACAGGAAGGACACAGCCCTCCCCAGCTGAGGAGGATGTATGATTTCCATAAATTCAGCCTGCCATTCCCCGCAGTGCAGAATCCCACCTTGGCAAGGGGGTGCCTGGCTTGCACTTGGGGCCACAGTGCGGGAACAGGGCCACATCTGAGCAGATGCAGGCTGTGGGGGAACCACTAATCCACGCCTCCCTCCCCTGGTGTATCCACCAGGCAATTGGCTCTTCTCTCTCTGAGACTGTCTTGTTATTTTTTGCTGATCACATGTAGTTGAATTCCTGTCAAAGTGCCTAAGTTGTGACTGCCCTGAATATAACATAGATAATGGGTGGGGCTGGGGGACTGTTCTGGTTCATGTCAGGGGTGAGGGCCTCTGGCCTTGACATCTTCTCTAGGGTGACCCCAAGGCCCATTCTTAGGATACCAGGCTCAGGGGATCCCAGTCTAAACACCCATGATCAAGGCTCATCCCCTTGGTTACCATCCGGGAAGGTAAGCCTCTGAGCAGTGAGGGATGTGGCACTTTGGGGACCAGGAGTGAGGTGGCTAAAGCAGCCATCCTGGAAGAGATGTCTGGGCAGACCAGGTGGGGGACAGGGCCCCAGGCCAGAGCAGGATGTGGGAGGGAGTACCTGGAGGGTGTGACTTACCTGTTGCTGCATTTATTCTGCATTTATTCATTCAACAAATATTAACCAAGTTATCCTCAGAAATATCCGTTTGTAATTGACAAGCACAAAGTGATTTTAGGGCCTATAATGGGGCAGGAGGGTCTTTGTGGTTGGCAAGGTTAGGAAACCTTCCTGGAAAAGCTGAGCTGAGAACTGAAGGGTGAGCAGAGGCCAAGTAGATGAGAAGGGGAGAAATAAGTGTTTCAACAAGTGAGTATAGCATGTGCAAAGGCCCTATGGTGGGACAGAGCAGAGGGAATAGGTGAATCTAAAAGATCGCGTAGCTGGAGTGGGGGTGAGGGGTGAGTGTGGAGTGAGGAAGGCCAAGGGCCTGGATGCGCTCCGTGGGGAGAGTAGCCTGGTCTTGCGCTGAGGGCGGTGGGAAGCCTTAGAGGGTTTGAGCAGGGAGATGGGATTATGAGGCAACCCTGCTCACATCTGCCTTCCTGTCTGACTACCTGTTATGCTCTGGCTTGACATTTTTCATGAATGTTCTCTTCAAATCTCTACCATTCCTAAAGACCAACTCCTGAACGTGAAGGGGCTGAGTCCACTTGACAGGAAACTGAGTCTCTGGATCTTCCCATGGCCCAACCTGCTTCCTTCTGCCCAGAGAAAAGAGGAACAGGGAACTGATGCCCGTGGTCAGCTGCAAAAAGTCTGGGCTGGGAATGAGGAGGGCAAGGCCCTCGGAGGCCCACGCCCGGGATGGGCAGGGGCCCTGCTTCCGTTTAACCACAGCCCTGTGACATGCCCCAGAAGGGAAGCAGAGGCCGCCTGTCCTCATTCCCGTACCCTAGGGAAGGGACTAGGGGTGCCCTGGGGGAGGGTAGGAGCCTGGGAGAGGCCTCACTCTCCCATGCCAAACTGCAGGATTGCGCTCTTGGAGAACTTTGGGGTCAGCTGAACCCAGCTGGGTGACCTTGGTTAAATCCCATCACCTTGGCTTCCTCCTCTATGAGGAGAGGATCAGAAATTCTCCCCAGACTATTCTCAGGATTAGCATACAGTGGGGCCTCACTGAATGGCTTGTTGACAGGTGGCTGGTTGAATGAATCAAGGATGTTTTTCTTCTTGAAAGGAGTAGCCAATTAGATTTAAAAAACCCATGTATTTGACATTCAACAAATATTTATTGAGCACCTACTACGTTCTAGACATTGTTCTGGGTGTTATGGAGACAGCAATGAACAAACCAGACACAAATGCTTGCAGAGGCCCTACTACCCTGCCTGTCTGTGGCAGACATCACTAACTGATCATCTTTCCTGCTGAAATCAGAGTTCTCTCCAGCACTGTGAACCTCCTGGGGGCTGACACATGGTAGGGGGTGGGGGGCAACCTGTCACTCCCAGGGAGGGACAGCAAGTGGGGACTTGGATGATCCCAGTGAGAACCCACTAGTTGATTTAAGCTGTTTCCTCTCAGTCTCTTTCAGCAAGTATCTATTGAGCACCTACTGTATTACCAGGTTCTGGGAACATAGCAGTGACCCGAGTGGGTACAATGCCTGCCTTGTGGAGCTGGCATTCTGATGAGGGGGCTGGACAAATGAGTAGATGCTTTTAGACATGGATGCAGACCACAAAGACATAACCAGAGGGTGTGGTGGAGAGCAATAGGGAAGGCAGCTAAGGTGGCCCAGGGGGTGGGGACTCTGGGAGGAGGTGACATTTATTGAGACCAATGAGATGCAGCCACAAGGGAAAATGTGGGGGAAACAGTGTTACAGATGGAGGGAACTGCAAGGACAAAGGCCTAGAGGTGGGAACTGGGCTGTCTTAAAGAGCAGAAAGAAGCTTGCGTTCCTGGGGAGGCATGAATGGAGAGGAGAGAAACAGGAGGTGGTGCTGGAGAGGGCTTCTGGATTTTATCCTAACTGTGATGGGCAACCGGTGGAGGGTTGAAGCAGGGAAGTGACTTGGTTGGGGTTACATTTTGATTCCTCCAGCTGCCACGTGGAAAGGTTGTATAGGGGACAAGGGTGACACAGGGAGACCAGGTCGGAAACAACTGCAGATGTCCAGGTGAAAACTGATGGTCACTTGGACCAGGGTGATGGCAGTGAATACAGGGACAGCCAGGGCTGGCGGGAGCCCCAGGGCTCTGCATTCGGTTTCCTTTTTCCTTTTATGCTATCCGCCCTGGGTCACTGGACTTTCCCTGGCACTGCTGGTGGAGCTCACAGGATACTGGTGATCTGGCCGTTTCTCCTCCTGGGCCCCTCCCTGCCACACCCTGGACCGCAACCCCCCCTCTCCAAGGGCAGCCCAGCCCCAGCTAGTCTGTTGATGTCTCCCCCAAAGTCCAGGCTTTGCCTGTGGTCCCCCCAGTATACTGCTCCAGCCTTGCACTCTATTCAGAAGCCACTTTGCAATCCCATTTGGGCAGATGCTTATTCTGTAGATGCCTTCTTCAGATGAGGTTTGTCCCCAAGGACAGGACCCTGAGAATCCAGGCCTGCAGGGGTGTATTTGTTTCAGGGTTCCTGATGATAGAGAAGTACCCAAAGGTAGCACTGCCAGAGAACAGCCTCTTTCTTGGGAAAGCTCCCCTCTGATCCAGCCTGTGGCTGGATGGGGCAGACGTACTCTCCTTACTTACTCAGACCTCGGGTGCTTGGATTGGCAGTGGCTGCAGAGCTGTGTTGAGCAGGGTTCCGAGGCTGCATCCGGGTTCCTAGGAGGGAGAATTGTAATTAATTAGTAATGCCTGCTGTGGACCCAGGAAGGAGGCTAAGGGTCACATTGACCTCATCTTTGTGTTTCTGGCATGCAGTATGTTCTCAGGCCTGCCCTCTCCCATTGTGCACCTTAATCTTCAAGTATAATACATGCTGTTTGAAAACACTCTGTGGTTTTGGTTTCCTCATCTGTGAAATGGGGATAATAATGACAATGCCCCAAAGGTGTGGGGAAGCTTGAGGAGACATTTCCCTGCTCCCCAGAAGTGACTGAAAACATAGGTCCTGACAGCTGCATTGTCCAAAGTCACCCAGCTGGGAGATGGCCAGAACTGGGATTTGAACTCAGGGCCGCTGAATCAGGGAGGGCAGGCAGAACAGTGGGGCTGAGGAGGGGAAGGTGCTGCTCGGATCTCCCTGTGACCCTGGGCCTCACTTCTCCTTTCTGCCCAGTGCACTCAGCACACAGGAAGCCTGCCTGGGGCCTCCCTTGCCCATCCTGTCTGCAGCCAGTGGACACGGGGTCCTGGCGTCACCCGCCGCCACCCCGGGCCTCCTCCTTCCTGTCTTGTGCAAGATGAGGCATCCCCCCTGTGGAATGGGCAGGCTGCTCAGGCAGATGGGTGGACAAGTGAATGGGGGGCCCTCTCAGGCAGGGTCCCTGCCTACATTTCCCACTAGCAGGCCTCTATGGGCCCTGGCCCCTTCCTCATCCTATTTCCCCCAAGTTTAGGTAGCCTTGAGCAAGAGGCTGGGGGAACCCAGGAAACTGGGGAGGCTGCCCAGCCAACATCTTGTCCCAGCACAGCAGATCTGGGCTCCGGCCATTACAGAGAAGGTCCTAAACAACAACAGCCGTAACACTGGTATTTCCATTTACTGAATAGCTTCTATGTGCCAGCCACTATCTTGTTTAAACACCAATATTGATATAAGCACCCACTATTTGCGATGTGCTGTCCTAAGTCTCTTCTATCTGATATCCACTGAATCCCCACAAAACCCTTGTGAGGTCATTTTTTTTATGCTCCCTCTTTTCAGATGAGGAAACTGAGGTTCTGAGAGGTAGAGGGACTTGCCCAAGGTCATGCAGCTAGCTGAATCCCACTGAAGGTCATCTGTCTGTATCCCTGGGCCAGCGCTGTTCTGGAAGTCAGGAGGCCTGGAAGGGAGGTGCATTCGGCCACTTTCTGGTTGGGCAGCCCAAGGCATGTGAGTGGCCTCTCTGGGCCTCAGTTTTTCCCATCTGTACCGGCTCTGGTTTCTCAGGCTTATGTTTTCGGGTCAGAAGATCTGGGGCAATGCCAGGGTAGGCAGCATGAGGACAATAGAGGAACAGAGGACACTCTGGGATGGCCACATGGGAGGTCACACTTGTGGCCAATGTCCTGAGTATTTCTGCCCAAGGGCTTCCTGTGGCTGCAGGAGTACGGGGCAGAAGTGAGAGACCCTTGCCAAGGGAGGTGGGAACCAGTATGTCAATAGCCGGGCTTCCTTGCCCCTAGGATGGGACAATGCTAAGGTGTGTCCTGCTCCTCCCAGAGGTCCCCAGGGTCCAAGTCCACAGAGGTGACCTGTTTACCCTCCTTCCTTGCCTCACTTCCGTACTCCCTATTGGTGTTTCTGGATCACCTCCCGAAAAACCTGTTGGCCCCAAACCCTTGTCTCGGGCTGGCTTCTTCCACCTAAGCCAGCAGTTGAACCTCGTGGAAGTCTAGCTTTGGAATCAGACAGAACTGAATTGGGTTCTGCCACTGCCACTGACCTTGCCTATGACCTTGGGAACCTGCCCCCTTTCTCAGAACCTGGATCCCTCCATCTATGAAATGGGGGCCAGGTGATGATGAGATGGATAGGGGAGTGTGAGGCTAGGGGATGGAGCAGAGTTCTCAACTGTGGGGTCCGTGGAGGATGTTGAGTGCCATTCCTGAAGGCTTCTAGGGTGGGATGAGTAGGTGGATGTGGCAGACGAAGAGGGTAAAGTGCACAGCCTGGTTGAGGGTGTGGAGGAACTGGCTGTGAGTCCTCCTCAGCCCTGTTTGGCTGGTGGGTGGATGGGAAGGACATACTGATTCTAGGGGGCAGAGCAAAGAACAATGGTTCACACTGTGGGGTGAGGTTAAGATATCAAAGAGCATCTGCCCTCACCACGTAGGCAGCACCTCATCCCTGGTGTCCCAGATTTGGAGGCCACCTATCCATGGGATCCTTTTTCTAATTCTGTGCTTAAGGCAATGTGTGGGGGCCTAGGTGCCCCTCTTTCAGTGGGATGAGGCCTAATACCTGGAGGCGCTCCCCTGCCCCCATAACAAACAGGGGGTCTTCCATGCTGTAGTAATGGCAGTCCCAGCCTCCTGGCTGCCCAGGCTCCAGACCCAGGTTTCCCTCTCCTGTTTGCATGCCCAGCCCACCAGCAAGCTTGTCTAAATGTCCAGGGGTCTACCTCCACTGCCCTGTCCTGGGCTAGCACTGCCTTCTCCCACTGGGACCTTTGTAATAGCCTCCTCTTTGGTCTCACTGCCTCCACTTGCGCCTCCTAAGCCAGAGGACTTTGCTTAGAACCCACAACAGATCCTGTTCCTCCTCTACCCAGAAGCCTCCATGACTCCCACTGTATTTGAAGCACAAGCTGAAGTCCCTACAGTAGCCCACAAGGCTTTGGGGGATCACCTCTCCTGCCCTCAAGCCCTCTCTGACGTTACTCCCTCCCCCACCACAGCCAATCCACTCTGCCCCCTTTTCTACTCAGCTGCAGCCACACTGACCTCCTCTCTGGGCCACAAGAATGCCAGTTATGTGCTGCCTCAGGGCCTTTGCACTTGCTTTTTCCTCTGGAATGGAGAGCACTCTCCTCCCAGCTTTCCTTGTGGCTCCTTCTCTGCAGTCAGGACTCAGCTCCAAGGTCACCCCTCACAGAGGACCTCCCTGCTGTTTTATTTTCTTCCTAGCACTTAGAGCTTATCCTAGAAAATTACGCTGCTTGTTTATCCTTTCATTTTTCTATCTTCTTCCACTGGAATGTCACTGTCACTCAGGTGGGGAGTTTTGTCTGCATTGTTCATTGCTGAACACCCAGCCCCAGCCCCCAGCACAGTACCTGTACAGAGCAGGTGCCCAGTAAACACTTGTGAATCAATGAATGAACAAATGAATAAATTAATACTTACTTGGCAGATGAGGGGGCAGAGAAAGCCTCAGGGGGCTCACAGTCCTGCTCTTCCTCCTGACCCACTCTGCTCTCTGGAGCAGCTTGTTGCCAATGCAGCCACGAAGAGGGTGTGCCAGGTTTGGGGTCCTGGGTGTAAGTCTCTACCCCTGCATGTCTCGGCTCATACTGTGGGGCGGTAGGCAAGTCAGCTTCTTAATCTGCAAGATGGGTCACCTGGAGGTCCCAGTGGCACACAGTTGAGGTGCGACGGGATGGGATGGGATGGTGAGGTCTTACACATAATAGGTGGCACATAATAGGTGTTCAGTAAATAGAGTGGCTGTGGCAGAGGCACTGGCTTGTGGTTCCCTCCCCCCACCGTCCCCTCTGTTCCAGGACCTGTAATTACCACTTACCCAGTTCAGTGGGCCCGAGGGATTCCATGTGTGGGCAGGGCTGTGGCCAGGGTGCTTGCCCTGGCCAGGCGGGTCCCACAGGCACAGTCCCACTTGGGCCTGGTGGCTGACATTCCAGGCACGTTTCCCAGCCCTGCGGTGGCCACAGGCCTGCACAGTGTGGGGGTGGGCACGGGGGTCGTAGGCTTCCTGCTGGGCCTCCTGACCACCAACTTCCTGCTGGGCCCCCTGAAGCTCAGAGGGGCCTCTGAGTCCTCCCTTCTGCCTCCACCTCCTTCTACCACCATTGTTGCTTATCTGTATTGGTGCAGAAGCCTCCCTCCCACCACCCAGAAACTCCCTCTGCCCACTCAGCCAGAGAAGTCTTTTAAAACCAAGGAGCAGCCCATGTCACTCCCTTGCTGAGTTGAATCCCCAGTTCTGAGAATCAGTCCTCAGATTCTTCCCTTGGCTCACAAGGCTCCACATCATCTGACCTCCTCTCCCCACCCCTCCTCACTCACCCTTCTGGACATGCTGACCTCTTCTGTGTTTCTGAAACAGCCCATGCCAATGCTGCCTCAGGGCCTTTGTACTGGCTGCTCCCTCTGTCTGGAACACTCCCTGCAAGTGTCCATAAGGCCCTCTCCCTCCCTTCCTTTGGGGCTCTGCCCAAGAGTCACCTGCATGTGAAGCCTTCTCTGACCAGCCCCCAACTCCCTACCCAGTACCCCATGTCCCCTTCCCTGCTGTATGTTCTCATGGGGTACCCACACCTTCTGATACACTGTAGAGTTAACTTATCTGTAAGGGCAGGGATGTTTGTCTGCTTTGCTCTCTTTTGTATCCCGTGCCCATAACATAATAGGTGCTCAACGAACATTTGTTGAATAACTAAATGAACAACTCTATGAGCTGTTGGCAGATAGGACACTGAGGTCCTTCAGAGTAGGTGACCATCCCAAGGCTGAATAGCTAGTCTGAGACTGAGCCAGTAGGGGAGCCCGGGTTCATCAGTCCTGCTGGAAGCTGTTTCAGAAGAACAGACAGGGCTCAGGCCCTAGCAGTGGATCCCGATGATTCTGCTGCCTCGCCAGCCCCAGGGCCAGGCAGTACTCAGGCTGGTCCAGAGGTCTTGCCTGCCTGCCCAGGCATTCCAGGCTCTGACCCAGGTTCTGAGCTTTCTATTTTGAGCCTCCTAGTTCCAAGGACTCTGTGTTCCCAGCAGGCAGCGCGGACCAGAGGCTGAGCCTGGGTGTGGCTGTCACCCTAACTGGAACCTTGTGGTGGGAGCTGGAGCTCGGGCTCTGCCAGGGAGCCCAAGGACCCAGATTCCTGGGTCCTTAACCTGTTGGCTACTGAGGCCTTGGGCTCAAGCCTAAGTCTCTGCCCCCATTCCAGGCCCTGCCCTGGCTCCTTGCAGGGGTGGTGTTCATTCATCCCTCTTAGTTTATCCCTGGGACATTGGGGCCCACTTGAATTCTGGCTCTGCCCCTTTATAGCTATGTGACCTTGGGCAAGTCACTTTATCTCTCTGAGTCTATTTCGTCACCTGGGAAATGGGGATAATAAGAGAACCCACCTACTGGAATTGCTGGGAAGAGAAGATTCGGTGTGGTAAGCTTGGTGTAAGTACCCTGTACTCAGGAAGTAGTACTTAATCACGAGTTCCTGTGGGGGGCATGTCTTCCTCATGTGCCCTGACTGATTTCCCCTGCTGCCCCTCTTGCCACCCGGTGCATTTGGATTAATTGCCTTGTTGGTTCTGTGTGTGTCCCCCCTCCACAGCAGCAGCTCCTTGAGGGCAGGGACTTGTGTTTGCCTTTTCACCACTGTGTCTCTTGTGCTCAGCATAGCGCCTGGCACAAAGTAGGTGCTCATGGAAGAATGAATACATGAAAGTGACCCCTTGGGGACCACAGGCCCTGAGTTCAGAAAGTATGTCTTCACCCCGTTCCCTGGGTCAGAGAGGGGGACACCTGTGGTTCTCAGGTGCTTGTTGGTACCAGGCCCCCCGCTCCATCTCATTCAGCAGCTGGTGAGGCTTCCAAGTTAGTATCATCCTCGTTTCACAGATGGGAAGAAAGGCCCAGAGAGGGGGGACCACTTACAGTAGTCAGCACCTGAGCCAGGATTGCAACCTGGGGCTGTGCGGGTGGATGGATCGTTCTTTTTCTGGAGGGAGTAAGTGGTAAAGGAGAGCATGGTGGGGCTGGTGGGGAGGCTGGAGGGAGGGAAGCTGAGACAGGCTTGTGTCTCCCTGGACCCTTCTCCTCTGTACCTGTCTTTGTTGTGTCTCTTCCTGTCTCTGTGTCTCTCTCCTTCTCTTGTGTATGTGACCCATTGCCCAGGAGTGGGTGCAGGCAGCAAACCCCTGGCTTGGGGGCTGGAGATGGGGCCCAGTTGGGGAAGGATTGACATCTGGAGTTGAGCTGAGGATTTAGAGCCAGGCCCAGTGTGGGCCCCAGGGTCCTGGTCTCAGTCTCTATACTTCAGGGAGAGTCTTGGAACCTCAGCAGGTTAGAGAGCCCTAGTTTCAGAAGATCTGGGTTTGAATCCCAGCTTTGTCATATCCCAGCTACACGGTCTCAGACACTTAGCCTCAGTTCCTGTACAGTGGCCTAGACAGCTCTGTCTTACAGGGTTTTATAAGACAGAATGAGATGAGGGCCATGCCTAGCTTCCTGAAACTCCAAGTAAAAAGGGTAGCATTCAAAAAATAGCTAATTGTAGTGATTTCTTTTTAGTAGGTGGAAAAAGTGAGACTCAGAATCATTTTACTCATTCATTAAGCACCTATTATGTACCAGGTGCTTGGTTTTGAATTCATTACCCCAGGGGTTGGCAAACTATGGCCTTGGACAAGATATGGTCCACAGCCTGTTTTTGTAAATAAAGTTTTATTGGCACACAGCATCCCCATTTGTTTGCTTACCGTCTACAGCTGCCTTCACCCTGCAACTGCAATGTTGAGTATTTGTGAGAAAAACAATAAGGCCCCCAAAGGTGAAAATATTTACTATCTAGCTCTTTACAGAAAAAGTTTGCCAATCCCTGGATTAATCCATCACAGCCCTGGAAGGAAGGAAGGATCATAACCCTGATTTTACTATTTAGAAACTAAAGTCTCTGCTCAGGGACTGTTGGGTTGGGTCTTGACAGACAGTCTCTGGGTCTAACACCTCCTCCTGTGACTCTTACCCAACCTTGTTTTCATTCTGCGTGGGTGCCAGGAGGGTAAGTGGAGCCCCACAGTGGAAGGAATCCTGTTTGATAGTCAGGTGGATCTGAGTTTGAATCCTGCCTCAGTCCCTCCCTTGTTGGTGACCTTGAGTGAGAGGTCTGACCCACAATAGGTACTTAAACAATGTCACATCCCCACTCAGAGCCTCACCTTTCTTTCAGGCTCCATCCAAGTTTTGGTGGGGGAACATTTTGCAAATCACAGCTGTTGGCTGGTATTGGGCATTATGGCTGGGTGAATGGTAGAAGGTGAGGCATCAGTGAGGGAGGACTTTGGGCATGGAGAGGCTCTCTAGAGCTCCATATAAGTGGAGGGAGAATCTCACTGTCCCCCAAGCTGACCCAAAGTCTTAGTTCCTGTCCCCTGGCTTGAGGCTTCAGCCTGTCCTTGACTGCAGCACCACCCCCAACCCCACGTGTCCAAGCTCCTTTCACAGCCTCCCTCCTGCTGGCCTTGGGGAGCTCCTGGTTTGCCCTCAGCCCTTTTCCAGTGGTTCCAGAATCACCAAGAGGCAATCCTTCCTGCTGCCTGGAGGAGGCAATGCTGGTGATGCAGGAACCTCTGGCCCAGCATCATGACCAAGAGCTATTGAGAATGGAGGGGACTCCCCTGACAACCTCACCTGTTGTCTGCTGTGCCTCTATTAGAGCAGCCTTCCCAAATTAATGAACTCGCTAATTTATTTCTCCAATACTGGATGACACCTTGGGCAAATGCTTTTACTTTCGGCTCTGTAAATGGGGCTCTGCTGGCACCTGTCCCTTCAGCATGTTGTGAGAAAGAAATGAGGAGAGGAAGTGCTGGGCATGGCCCTGAGTGTGGTGGGCACTCAATACATGTGCTCGTGGGTTCATTTGAGGGTCCCCTGGATGCTCCCTGAGGCCTCCCCAAGGCCAGCCTGGTGCTGGGGTGAGGGGAAGAGAGGGACAAAGATGTCAAAGACACTGGCCCTCATCTAAGCACCAGTGACATCCAAATGCATCCCTTCAACCTGGACAACTCCTCTGACTCCAGAGATGTGTCCAACCACCCCTCCCCACAGCCGCAGGGATGACTCAGGAGCCTCAAACTCGGCACAGCACAGCCCAGCTCCTGTCTCCCCCGAAACCATCCCTGCTCAGCTGATGGCTCCTCCACCCTCCAGGGACTCTCCCAGACCCAGGAGTCATCCTCAGCTCTTTGTTCTCATGCGCCTCACAGCAGATTGATTACCATATCAGCTCCACCCTGGACACGCACCCAGAATCCGCCTGTGTCTCTGCCTCCTGAAACCTCCCTGGCCCATTTTGCCAGCATCCCTCATGCTGAGGACCTTACCCACTACAGTCTGCTATCCTACACCAGAGAGATCCCTCAGAACTAAAGTCATATCCTGCCCCTCCCCTGCCCAGAGACCTTCTAGGGCTCCCACCTTGCTCAGAGTAGAAGCCAAAGTCCTCCCCATAGCCTGCAAGGCCCTATATACCGACCCCCCATCCCACCCTACACCTCTCTGATGACCTCTCTTCCCACTTTCTCTCTCAATTACTCCCTTTAAGCCAGATTGGCCTCCTTGCTGTTCCTCTAACAAGCCATGGACCTTTTTACCTCAGGGCCTTTGCACATGCTGTTCCCTCTGCCTAGAATCCTCACTCTCACCCCTTTCACATCCCAGCAGCTCAGATGTTACCCTTGGGAACCCCTCCTTCCCTGCCAGCTTAATTCTTCTCCACCTCCTCTCTATTGTCTCACTTTATACTCTGATCTTACTTTATTTTTCCTCTATGGGTGGAGGAAATGGCTTAGGGGAAGGGTTTTCCCAAGACGGGGACAGCACGTGCAAAGGCCTGGAGGTGTGAACTGCACAGTGAGGGGGTGCAAACTGGTGGATGAGGGGGTGGCCAGCAGGCACAGGCAGCTGTGCTTCAGGATAAAGCATCGTCCAGGCAAGAGGAAGAAGAGCTCTGGGCCGGCGTTGCCCTACCTCTGCCCCTTCCTGGTCTTGTGACCTCAGCATGCCATGCTTCTCTCTGGACCCAAGAATCCTCTACTGCTATTGAAAACCACCTAAGTAGAACCATTATTTGGCAGATGGGGAAACTGTGGCCGCAAAACTGTTTCTGTGATATGGTTAAAGGTCAACGTAGGGACAGAGATAAGCCAAGGACTTCTAGCAGTCACTCACAACTTAGCTTGAATGA